AACCTCCTCCCAAATGCTTTCGAAACAAACTTCCTTCCCTACGCCACCGATCCCACCCCTACGCAACTACCTAGCGACCCCCAATCCACCAACCCCCCTCGTCACGCCGTCCACGCCGTTTGATCCACTTCCCGCCAGCCTAAACGGATCCACCACGCTTCCCGTTTTGGCGCGCCAGATGAGTCGGTAGTCGTCTTTCACTCTCTCGAGTTCGGAAGTGAGAGTCGCGATGAGGGAGGCGAGGGACATGAAGGACGCGTGTTGGGCTCGGAGGGTTGGGAGGATCGCTGAGTGGGGTATGGGGCGTTAGGAAAGAAAGGGGGAGGAAAGGGGAAGGACCGACCAGCAGGTGATGAAGCAGAGTGTGAAGATTCGAGCAACTGTTGGATTTGCTGTTTTGTGCCTCACGTCAGTGCCCGAGCGTCAATGATGTAGGAGCACGCACATCCATGACTCCTCGGTACCTCGCCAACTTCTCCTTGAACTCCTTGAGTTTCCTCTCGAAGTATCTGTTTCCACTAATAAGCATCTCTATCCTCTCTCAAACAAAACTTTCAGCTTACTCGAAAGGAAATCCAGCGACGCTCTTAGCTGCCGCTCCCGCACCATCCTTATTCGGGTTCTTGTACCCCTCAACGATCTTAACAAACTTGTTGACGTCCTCGAGGTCGACTTCGAGGGACTGCTTGAGGTCCGCCACGGTGCGGGAGTCAGTCGTGAGGAGGGTCGTGGTCGTTGTTGATTCCTGTGGTCCGTGCGAGGGGAAAGGGGAGGGGAAAGAAAGTCAGAGAAGGGTCATAAGATAAAATAGAGGTGAAAAGGAGACGAACGGAAAGCACAGCAAGGTACTTGTCTCCCGTCGCCGTGATCCCAGCACCCAAATCCCTCCCCTTCAGCTCCTCGCACATTCCGACCTGCGCTCTGATTCCCGCACTGTCACCCCAAACCCCAATCAGCACCTCTTACGCCACTCTTTGCTTTCCGAAAGAAAAGAAATTGGACGCACTCGATCTGCTCAATCAAGCTCTTCGCCGCGGCAGGCAACTCCTCCAACTTCGTGCGCTTCGTGATCGCCGCTGGCTGGCCTGGTGTAGCTCCGGTGGCGGTCGAAGCTCCTAGCGGTGCTGCTGTCGTCGCCAATCCTGGTGCTGGCGCGGCAGCTGGTGCGCTGCTGTGACGACAAGTGACCGTCAGCGCCCCTGCCTTCCGCCCTCGTCGCACCACCCCATGCAACCGCGCTCGGGCAACAGAAGCTCCAGCTCACCCAAAAAGACTCTTCCCCGCCGTCCCCACTCCAGCACCAAACAATCCTCCGCCAGCAGCCGGTGCAGGCGTCGCCGCTGCTCCCGCGCCAAACAATCCTCCTCCCCCAGCCGCTGGCGCCGCGCTCCCTGCCGCACTCGCGCCAAACAGTCCTCCACCAGCCGGTGCAGCCGGAGTAGGAGCAGCACCAAACAGTCCTCCTCCCGCTGCGGGCGCTGATCCCGCTGCTGGAGCTGGGGGAGCACCAAAGCTGAACGCGGGTTTCGGGGCTGCTGCTCCGGGCGTCGAAGCGGCGGGAGCGCCGAAGAGGGATGTCGTGGGTGCTGCTGGGGTTGGAGTGGCGGTTGAGGCTGGCGTAGTGCCAAAGAGGGAGGGAGCGGAGGAGGTGGGAGCGGCGGGCGTGGGAGCGCCGAAGAGAGAGGTCGGGGCGGCGGCGGGGGCTGGAGCGCCAAAGAGAGATCCGCTGGAGGAGGAGACAAGTTAGTGAAAGAAGTGAGACGTTGGGCGAGGGGACGAACGAAGCGGCGGGCTGGCCGAAGAGCGACATCGTTTGAGGTCGTTCAACCGCGAGGTGACGAGCGTCGATGGGACGATTGGTGATGCTAGATGATAGAGCATGATGGAAAATGGGGGTAGCGTGAGTGATGGAGCAACTATGGTGAGATTTGCAGGGACTTACGAGGATCAGACGAAGGGCGAACGACGGCGCAAAGTTGAGCGAAACGGGCACCGCGAGAGTTCGTTCAAACGCGACGGTCCGGAGTAGACGTCAGGCGGTACGAATAGATATAGCTAGAAGTGGATCGTGATCCTTTTTGGTGCGGAAAGTGGGAAGTCGTGCGAGTTGTGCAGAGCGGAGCAACGAAGAGCAAGGCCAGGCGGACTTGAGGAAAACAACGACTTTTGGCCGAAAATTCAAGGAAGTGACGTGGCGTATCTGAACGCGACGAACGCGAGTTTAACATAACGAAGTTTCAAATTTTACAAGATGAGCTATTGCAGTACTTCAAGCTACCGACAGTATCTACGGGTGATTCAATCTACCCATTATAGTCAGTCGCCCTGCTCAGCCAAAATCCCACCGGGACGACCACTTTCCCATCAATTCTATCCGGAACATCCTCAGAGCATCACAAGTACTATCGAGGTCACACAAAAAATCGACAGTTTTGCAACACCGAAGCGCGCCGTCGCGGCGGACGCCAGTTGCGTGGCCGAAGGCGTCGTCGTGAGGGCCGTTGCGACTGCCGTAGGGGAGGAAGTCGGACGAGAGCCAGACGTGGTGGACGAGGTAGCTACGAAATAGAATAAACGTCAATTGGGTTAGTGTTCACGAGATGTGGAGACGCACCAACGGTGCGGCCAGCTGAAGCAGTGGGTGCAGCAGAGCTCAGGGACGACGTGGTCGTTCCAGCGCTCCCGATCGGGGTGGGTGCAGCCGTAGAGGACATGGTTGGGGAAAAGGAAGTGGAGCTTTGCTCACTCTGTGAAGAGGAGGTGCTGAGTGCCCCTCCGGCAGGAACTTCCGACGAGGACGAAAGGCCGCCGCCGGCGTCGCTGGTGCTGCTGGACGGGCCGCCGTTCATCTCGCCGTTGTCCGACTGGCGAGTCATCGTTCAAATGTGAGTAGTCAGTAGCCATAGATCCCTTTGCTTATGAGATCGAAACCTCACCGAACTCGTGGTTCCCCCAGTCCCTTCGCCCGCCGCACTCGAGCTCTCAGCCGGTGGGGTTTGCGCCGCCGCGACTGAAGTCGTAGTCGTGATGGTTGTGCTCGTGCTCGTGGTGGTCGTAGTCGTGATGGACGACGAAGAGGAATCTCCACAGCCTGCACCACTGATTGCTTCCCCGGTCTCAGGGTTTGTACAGAAATTGGTCCTTGTAGGTCGTCAGCGACATCGTGACCTGCCTCGCCACGGCGGGAACTCACTGGCACGTGGTCTTCCAAGATGTTTCGAGATTGTTCCTGTCGGAGCTTTTGTCAAAGAGAGGTTTGTTTTTAGTTGGGAAAAATACCGCCTACATGCTGATTTTAGCGTATTGATCGATCGGGCGCGATTCGCCCTGATTGTTCTTTAAACAGAGAAGACATCTGAGCAGAAGGAATGATTAGCTGTCCGCAATCCGTTGATGGAGCGGTCACTTCGTACTTCTGGTAGAGCTTGTAGGTAGAAGGCGCGCAGTTTGAGGCAGAGGGGGCGGACCCGGCGTCTGAGAACTACGCCGGAACAGCGTCAACATAAGCGCAGCCGAAAACGCGCATCATGAAGAAGCGTACAAAACTGCAGCCAAATTGACCGCAGTTCCTAAATCAAGCTTCTTATGAGCTTTCTTTCGCCTAAAAAAACCATCGTACGAAAGCAACTCACAAATCCGACGGCGGCGCGGCTCCACAAGTCCACGAATCGGCGGGATAAATCACCGTCGACGTCGGCGTCCGGCAACCAAACCCACTCCCGCCGGCCTCCGTCCAGCAATCCGAATCGTCGTTACAGTATCTGTACACCTTTGAGACGCAACCTGATTGCTGTTGCCCTTGAAAAGCGTGCAGTTGGCAGACACTGTCCGAGGGGCAGTCGGCGGTGCTGGTGCATGGGGCGCCTTGGGGGAAGGGAGCGCAGATGCTTTCGGGGACGTATGGTTCGGATATCCCGTCGTGATAGTGATACAGGGTGATGTTGCCCGTGTTGGGGAGGCAGCTCCCTGTGACGAGCTGTGAGCAGCGGAACTCTGCCTGGATGAAAAGGGTGCGAGAGCCTACCAGTCGTGCATTGGACGGCTCCGAAGCATTCAGCTTGAATGCATTTTCAGCGACGTTGCGGTCAGGGTAAAGAGAAGGATAGCTTACTCTGACCTTGTACGAGCCGAAAGAGTGGAAGTACTGCTCGCACAAGTCAGAATCAGCGTGCACCTCGCTTCCGCTAAGGTGGCCTGGCTCTCACCCGCGATAATCCAAAGCGCGTGCATTTCCACTATGTCTGTTTACGAACGCACAGAAGTGGTGGTAGGAGAAGAAGAGGACAGCAGTGGAAAGTCTCTTATTGACTCTTGACTGGCGTACCTATGTACGGCGGAACCCAGCCCAAGAGTCTCCTGAGACCGCCCCACATGAGGAACCTTTGAGAGGATATGCGGGCCCAGCCAGGAACATTTGATCCGCAGTTACTCTTGTAGCTACAACCTACCCTGTGAGAGCTAGAGCACTCCGGAAAAGAGAGTCACACTCTAGTCGCTGATGAGCGGACGTGGCAACACGTCAACCGGAGTCCGACGAGCAGTCTACGCAGAACAGTACCTACCTGGGCAGCTTTTCTTCTCTACAGTCAATTAAAAGCAGAAGTTGATCCCCGGTAGTACGCTGCCTCCGTCTTGTGTACCTTCACGGGACCGGGCGACTACTGGCTTGGCAGCTGAGTCTCTGGGTCAGCGTGAGACACGGCGGAGTTCAACGGGCGTAAAAATGGCTTTTGAAGCTGTTTTGTGAAAAGGGACGTACTTTGCCTTGGTTTGATATGTCTGTCGGGTGACCGCGTCCCTTGCGGCCAACTCTTGAGTTCATCGCAAGCTCTCGTGGCATTACGCGGCTCGGCACGGCACGTCGTTTTGACTCTCGGCAGACAAGGTTTGCTGCCGCAACAAACGAAAAAAAAAAGAAAAGAAAAAAAACGTCGAGTTCCACTTCACGCGAGGATCGTTGTGACGGAGCTGACGTTCTCAAGTCAAAAAAGAACATAATGAGGTCCGCCCCGGAATCGAACCGGGCTCACTCGGACTTGAAATGGATCAGGAAATCAAAACCGAGCGTACTAACCGATATACTAGCGGACCATTTTTTTTGCTTTTTGACACCGCAAACCAAATGTCAGCTATATAGAGCACAAACAAGGCTTTACACAGTTCCCTTGTTTTCGCGTTCTTGATATCACCCCCTTCTTTCAGACCTTAGTGCTGACGTATTGTGAAGACTGTGATTTGTGAGAAGCGTGAACCCGCCCTAACCTTATCGCACGACGCGCGCTCGCTAGACAGCCAAAAAGGGAGCGATAACTTGTTTGCCCTGACCGCGAATCGAACGGCCGATGACCACGTGGTCACGCGCCAGGAGCGTTCGCGCCGCTGTTCTCCGACAAAGGGGGCTGGTGTGGCAGGAGTAGAGGGTGCAGCAAAAACGAGTAACGAAGAGCGAGTAAAAGGGGATCCATCCATGGATCCTGTTTGTACACGGGCCGCGTGTCGGAGACGCAGAAGTCAGTGCAAGTGACATGAAGTGAAGGTGAGTACATAGAGACACCCGGCGAATGTGACGGTGGGATGAACTCTGAATTTGCCGTCGACCCTCAGATGGTGAAGTGGTGACTTTGGCAGCCTATCTCTCCTGGTGACTCTCTGACGTCAAATAAAAGAGAATCCCTGGTGCTCTGGGCCGCTCGTATCCCTGCCTTAATCTATACTTGTTCAGATAACAGAATCTACAGGCCAAAAATGTGATCCCCCAACGTCCAAACTGAAGTCGTAGCTGAATGGAATTGCTCCCAGCGCGTCCCATGCGGGGTCTAACGACGGATCGACAGGTTGGGGAATAGGTTCCGCTGAGGCTGACGAGGGTTCGGCATGACTGGACTGAAAGAGTACAGGGAGGGTTGGTAATGTGGATATACCTGAGGTTGTCCGAGTCCTTCTATTAGCAATAGTGCTTCAGTGGATCTGCAGGCGGACTCACCTAGTGCCGTAGCGACGGTGGAAATGGACTGGTAGAGCGGTCGTGCCTGTTGCCAACGAGTCTGAAGGACCGCCAACAACTGACAGACGGTCTGGAGGAGCTCGCATGCCTCTGAAAGAGAGAAAAAAGAAGACCGATCAAAAAAGTGGACACGGGACAGTATTCGACTGGGTACAGCTCACCGAAGTATGCAATCTCACCAAGCGTGAAGCAGATGATGATGAGATGGGCGCAGGTGGTAACGCGTCTTAGCTGATGCCAAGAAAGGTTGAAGTGTCCATTCGAAAAGATGAGGTGGTACGACGCGATGATCTGCGACGCCGATCGCGCGAGAACGGCGGTGGTTCCCATGTTGGCACGTCCGGCGATGCGGCGGGCGGAGTAGAAGATCAAGATCCGAGTCCTGCAGTTGAAGCAAAGAGGGATAGAAGCGAGAAACAAGTAGAGAAAAATGATAGGACGGACCAGTTAAGGTGGATCGAGTAGATCGCAGCGTTGGCTTTTGCGGCTGTGCTGACGAGGCCCGTCGTTGTAAGGCTCGAGGACGCCATCTCCTCCGCCAGCCGCTTTGCCCACCCATCAAGCTTGGATCCAATGGACTGGAAGATGCAGCCATCAGTCTGACCAAGGAAATCCAACGCTTCGCTCTGGATGAGCATGATCCTCGCTAACGCCGGAAGGCATTGCGAGCCCGTTACCGTATCGTCGACGTTGATCCCCGAGAGGAGGATAGGAGCGCCGAGCACCAAAGTGTCGAGCTCCGATAGCTTGATGAGAGGTGAGAGACCGCAGAGAGATGAGTGTTGGCTGCGAGTTGTGTCACAAAAATCAGATCAGCACAGGAACCCCGTAGAAAAGATGACAGCGCCGCGCCACGGACGGTGTGTGAGCTAGACAAAACAGGACAGACCAGTCGGCAAAGAATGTGTAAAAGTACAGCATCGCCGCACGACCGTCCAGAGCGGCATGCGAATACGTTGCCCGTCGGTTGAGCATCAGATCGTCGTGCGCCATCCTGACCGCTCGACCGAGAATGCGGCGAGCTTTTTTGCCGGGAGATGTGGAAGATACGTAGATGTACTGAAGAAATAGTGCTTCTGTGAGAAAAAATAAGAGCGTGAAAAATTTATTGCAAGGTGGAAAGGACTGACGTAAAGCTTCCAACGACGCGCCGCCCCAAACCTCCAGTGTCGCACTCGCCCGCTGAAAGAATGCCACATCGATCCGTGATGCTTCTTGCAGCGTAATATACGTGGCCGAGTTGGTGTCGAAGGTGAGTGCTCGGAAGGAGCCGAGGCACCCGACCATGTCGAGCAGAGCAGCGCGACCAGGCTCCAGCTGCACCGCCCCTTGGCACGAGTCGGCAAAGACTGACCAGATAATGCTGGCGGTCAAGAAAGGTGCAACGTGCTGCATAGTGCGGAGGAAGGTCTCAACATGCGTTGACGTGACCGTGACGAAAGCATCGTCGGGGCCGGTCGTCGGGAGACGGCTTTCGAACGGAGGATCGAAATCTTCTCCTTCAGAAAAGACCGCGTCTGCTCCACCTGTACGCCGAGCAAAAATAGCCTCGAGCTCCTCGCTGATGGCTACGTCCAGCCGAGCAGGCGGTGCTGATCCACACGCGACGCCAGCCGGCTCGGAGCCTGCGGCCTGCTCCAACACCGCCGAGACAGGCGGAATATCGGATCCATCTGCACAGATCCAGAGATGAGCTTAAGTCTTTGTGTACTGAGGTATAAGTGGACGTTCCTGGAGATGCTACTCGAGCTGTGGAGGACACTCGCGTCCGTGCCCGACCCCTAAAGGTTCTGTCGTTTAGCAGGAGACTTTGCGGGCAGCTGGCGGGCGGAAACAAGGCATACCTATTGGGCCTAGCACGATCTCTGAAAGTACATGACTCTGATAGGCCAGCTTGAACACACAAGGTGCAGGCGGGCGTCTCATCACCATCCACACCGGGAGCGAGTCGGCATTTGCGGCGCAACGAGCGGCAGCGGTTGCACGCTTTGGAGGTGCGTAGCCGGATGGAGGAGCTCGAGGGCTCTGCGTATGAAGCGGACTGATCCTCAGAAGCGAAGTCCGACATGTCGTTCTGACCAGAAAAGGCGGAGGCAGAGCCAGAAGGCGGGGGCGGGGCGGAGCTGCGGGCCGCGGCTGCCGGCGTCCCCGCTCTTCGACAAGAGGCTGGACATGACTTCGTGTTTTTGGTTTCCCCAATTTGAAAGTCTGACATAAATTGGGGCATGATGTAGTTTAGATTTTTTTGCGCTAGATTCAAACTGTGATTTGCTCGAGGCTCTTCAAACGGCAAGCTAATTGAAGCTGCCGGCGGAATGAATTTCTTTCGTAGCTTAGAGTACATCACTTCAAATCTCGTATAGATATCCCCCTTCTTTGCTTCTGGCTCACAGCAAGTATCTGACATTTTAAAATCGTCAGAAGAATATCTTTGAAAGCACTTAAGAGATCAAACGGACCGGAAGTTCTTGTTTTGAAAATCGGACTGATCCTCCAGGCCCATGTCAGAGCAGGGAGGGCCATACAACGCGTCTCGCTTGGCGTTCCGGTGCTTCATGAGGAGGCGGAGAAGCTGGCCGATGACGATGCCGGCCGCGACGGTGCCGACGGTGCTGGAGAACCCTTTGGGAAACTTGGGAGCCTCGGCGGCGTCGAACGTGAGAGGAGCGCCGATGTTGGCGACGCAGTACCCGACAAAGATGATGACGCCCGTCGTGAGGCGTTTGGTGTATCCGCCGACTGGAAGTGGTTTTAGTGAGTATGCATGGGAATTTCGGAGTGAAGTGGGCACGCACCGTTGGTAGCGGCCATGGCAATGAGCATGCTGGCCGCCAACGAGAACATCGCCATGAGGTAAAACCCAGCAAGAAGAGGCTTGCCCTCCGGACCGAGCCAGACGACGAGCGATCCCACGAGAGGAAGAACGAGACCCGAGGTGTGGAAGTGGTAGATCAAGCCTGAAGTAGGTTTATTAGCAGGATTGTGTTTGCCGGAGCGGTGGAAGAAGCCTCACCGTCGTGCTTGCGTGTCACCCACGCAGGCACCCAAACGACCATGCTTCCAAGGAAGCCTACACCGAGCTGGAGCAGCAGGGTCTGAAAGACGGTAAATCCCCTGCACAAATGTCACAATCAGGATCAAAGGTCTTGCAACGATAATAGCAAGGAAAGGGGCGCACAGTTGCTTGACCAGCAAAGATCCGAAAGACGAGACCGCCCCGTTGCTCCAATGCGTGCACACGGCAAGAAGGAAGAGACCGATCACATTGAGATCCTTGAAGCACTCGATAAACTGTGCCAGTCTGAAAGTACGACTGTCTCCACCGGCGTTGTTACGCTGAACGCAGTCCTGAAGCACCAGGCGCTGGCGCTCGGTGAGGAAACGGGCAGTGGCGCTGACGAAAGACCATCGGAGTTAGAAGTACGTTGGGTGGTGATGAGGGTAAGAAGACATACATGTCGGTAGGCCAAATGGCATAGATCAACACTGACCACACAATGGTCACCAAGCCGGCAAACAAGTACATGTTCTGTCCATGGAGGTCCGTCAGTTTTCTGGGCCAACGGCAGCGAGACAAAGAAAAATGCGGACCTTCCAGCCAGGGAGACTACCTTTGATTGAGCCCAGCCCATAGTTCACCAAAGGAGCGAAAAGCTGCGAGGCTGGCGAGCATCCGTACCACAGCGCCACGCGGAAGCTCTACGAAACAAAGAACACGTCAGCGCAGCTCAGAGCTCGGCGTCACGCCCACGCCACTCACTTGTTCCTTCTTCGGGTACCACACGCCGATCGCAGCGGTAAAAGTGGGAGCGACTGCTGCCTCGATAACACCAAGAGCAAACCTCTGGCAGAGAATCCCGGCGTAGTTGTGCGCGAAGATGGTGCACAGGTTGACGATGCCCCAGAAGAAGGTGAGCACCGCGCACGACTTGCCCGTCGGGAGCTTCTGGACGAGGTAGCTGATGGGAAAGCAGCCGGCTAGATATCCCATCTGTCATGCAAAGAGTCAGTAGAAATTTTTAGACCTGCAGATTGGGGCGTACGTAGAAAATGCTCGACACCAGGGAGTAGCGGCTCGCGGGGGTGA